GATAATAAAGACGCTTTCTCCTAGAATTTTTGTCCTTTTTGAATTGGTTGGGACCCGGAACTGGGAGAATCGTACAGGAGTGCCCCTATTGGAACCCATTGGAACGGCCACTGTAGAAATTCATTTACACAGGTTGTCAAACGCAAAATACTTCTGAAGAATGTGAATGCTTCCTAACTTAGCTTTGTTAATTTAAAGTACATAACTATGTACTAGCATCTACCATTTACCATATGGTCAAGAGAATGGTGGGGGCTTACAGTAGAGGAGTCCTGGCAGATAATGCGTGGTACCATTTAGAATACATTCAGATACAACGTACTTCTGACAAAGCACACATGTGGATCCTTGGTTAAGCGAGAAATATAATATCTTTCGCAGGCAAAAAAAGCTTGAATTGAATTGTACATCTGCTGGCGAATTTCTGCATTAATAGTTTTACAGCAGACCATTTTAGGTCCACTCCTCTTCGTCATAAAACTAGCTCACTCACACCAATCTGTGCAGACGAGTGAAGGATCTAAAGGTACATAAGAAGTGAAGAGGGTTCAGTAGAGCTTCAAGTAAAACTGCAGCAATAATTTTAGGGAAGTATTAAATTTACCTAAAGACTACCATCGCAATGTCATGGTAAGTATATTCTTCTCCATGCGACACAAACAACTTTCATTCTCCACATACGTTAGGGCTCAAGTGTCTCTTCTGAATGTAATCTCGGTCTTGAAAATGCAGGAAGCTTGGACATCAACAAAAAACTACATAGTAGATGCAGCAGTAGAAAACCCAAATCTGCAGTTGATGAAGGGAAACTTGGCACATTTACCACAAAATTCTTCCTAACTCTTCGCAAGTCATACGAACAGATCAACCGTGAAGTTCACGATGTTGTAATACTATCTCCATCTAAACAGACATCAATCTCTTAGACCAATTGAAGAGACGAACAGTTAAGTGGGTGGTGGTGCTAAAGTATGAATCAGACAATTAAAAGAGACTATAAAAAGAGGCATACAAACTATTCAGCACTCCAATTCACATTGAAGAGAGTATTCTATTAGAACATCACCAACACGTCGCACGCCCTCTCATATTGAGTTCACCAACAATTAATGTAACAGTTTATTTGTTTCGTTATTTAATCTCTGAAATAATCTCTTAGCATTAGAATGGAAATGTCTTGTCCTCCAAATGGCAACTAAATGTCGGTCTGCCAGATGATGTGATGGCTGATGATAATCAGAATTTCCAAGTCTCTGGAAAATCTTACTCAGTAAATGTTACCGTGCATCCAATTCATGAATATACTTTCCTGGACATAACTTGCACTAATTCTAAACCAGCACTGACTCGTTGCAAAGCAAACGAAATAACTCGCAACAAGTATTATACAGTACTTTCCTGAGTCTGAAGCACTTACAATTTTAGATGAAAAAGTTTAACCTTCTATAGAAATCGATAATAGTATCGATTATTGTGTTTAACTGTGTGTCTATGCTCACTCGCTTATCACATGTCTATTATTGCCTGGCTATCAATACTTAGCGATTGCCTCATCACACTCACTCGCCTTCTCCAGTTAGCTTCGCTCGGCTTGTCCCTTTCCGTACATGATACTTACGTAAACCTCGTTCGCACCACGATGGTTATAGAAAACGAAATACGGTTTTTAGGATGAATTTTTTTCTTGCATTCATTTAAGCAGATAGACATAAGAATGGAAAGTGTCTCCCCAGTGGATGGTTTCACTAAGAAACTTCAAAAACATACAATCTTCTCCTCCTACACTTCGGTCCTCTCACGTAATCTTTACAAACAATTAATTTACTAATTTATTTATTTACATAGTTTTGCAACTTTTCTCTTTTCATTAGCACTAGAATTTTCTCCTTCTTGTTCTTCACATTATAACTAAATGACCTCCATCCTGGTAATGTGATAGTTTTTGGTATTTAGGAATCCCAGTGCCCAACAAACGGGCTAACTCAAATGACGGGAATACAAATTCAAAAATGCCTATCAATAGCCTAGAATTAGTGCAGTCGAATGGCTGGACTACCATCATTGGACACTGTCAAATACCTGAAACTGTACCAAAGGAGCGAGAATCGGGCAAATAGAAATCAATTGTTCCATACGAGCTCGTAAAAAGGATATTGGATGTTGTACATTCGGACACGATGTTTGGGCGTGAGATATATAAACTTGGTTTGGTGGCGTTTCAAACCATAGGATAAACGTTTGTTTAGTTCAGTGTACACAGTAGGTTCTGTATCTCAGATGCTTTTATTTTTGCTCTTTGTTCTAGTCTTTATTTCCGTAAGGAATATTTGTTGAAATAGGACAAAAGTTGGTCTACTTCCCTGTTTTTAATTATGTTATTCCTTCAATGTCTGTACACGTCTGCGTGTATATTATAAAACGGATTTTCTTTACTGTCCTGAGAAATTTCAGCACACTATCGCGTGCTCTTATTCTTTTGTGTCCGTCTCTAAGTCTAGATTGATAAACTCTATAGAGATATATCTATAATTAAAATATGTATGATGACTTATGATAACCACAGTGTTTTATAATGAATGCCTGTATATACAAAATCACTGATGTCGTTTCATAAACGTACAGTTGCAACTGCAAGTAGCTTGACATTTCATTTAATATTTTTTGAAACTTTTATGGATTAATCTGATGTATGCTGTTTTAGGTAATTTTATTATGATTGGTAATTTTTAGTTTCCCTACCATCGATCTGGCATTCGTAGGTAACATCGTGGTGTAAAAAACAATTGGACACATAACGCCTATTCAGTCAGTAAAATTACTCTTTGTGAGACTCACTGCGAACCGAATTTCTTATTGTTATTACAAATATGATAGCTTATTGTAGCTTGATCTAAATTACATATGTTGTGACGTCGCTTATTTTACTAATGCTGCCTGATGAAACTCTACATCATGTTGTTTGTTCAGTCAGAACGTATCACCACACATTGTCGAATTTACCACTGTCATGTTTCTTATTTCTGTTAATCCGGAGAATCGCCTAAAAAATCCTTATTCATATATTGGTGCTTAGTCACTCAGTAAAAGAGATCCAACCGTAGCCTTGTCGTTCACCTCCTAAACGTTATCATAGTCATGGTGCAAGCATAATTACTTGGTTTCCTTGATCTAGTTAATCACACTTTAGATGGGAAGTTTAAGTTAGGAGCCCATATTTTCGTTGAAAGTACTGATGTATGGTCCTCCTACTGATTTCATTGATAATGTTATGGAGTCTCAGTAGAGATGGCATTACTCATTAATCTAGCGTAATTTTGGAAATCATATTGGTATAAGTAAAGAAATTGAGTCACGAAATCACAGCTTTTTAGTGCAAATTTTCTTCCAAGAAGCAAATCTTCTTGGATTAAACCATAAGAACCGTTTTGTTCTTTCAGCGTTCTAAAATCATATTTAGACAAATCTTGCTGTTTGTTTTCCAGTGGATTCCGCAAGCACCAGTATATTAGGCAAATGTCCTGATTAATGTGCAAAAGCCACAGTTATTTAGTGGTGTCAATGTCATAATTTTTCCGAACTGCTAAAGAACCGGAACTTATCTATTGGACATGTCAGTCCTGATCGTTGCCTTGACGTGGTTGTCGGGCTTGCTTATTTTGGTTGTAATACATGATTCTTTGAGTCTTACCATACCAGGCAGGTCGATCGGAAAACGGTACGATCAATAGTAGCAACTTAATATCTTAGAGTGAAATCGTACTGCTGTCTGTAGAAGGGTGTAACACCAATTAGAGGTTTCCCTCAGACAGTCAACGTCTGCAGCGATTCTGCCTCACAACGGAAGGAAGGAGTTAGGAAAGGTCGACCATCAAAATGTGACCCTCATCTTATCCTTCGGACTTTTGTCTCTGGCGATAAGGACTTTCGAATCCATGAAGTCACAAACAACCGGATTGAGTCATATTGGTAAGTGTCGAATACCTGGTTGGGGCCCATGAGATGATACAAATCAGTGGTTAGAGATCTTGAATGACATGGCTCAAAACTGTTTGCAATGGCGCAGGTGCATCCACTCGTTGTGTTCTATGAAATCCTAATCTTATGAATTCATCACCTCTACCTTTCTCTTTCTAAATTTTTCTCACTGAATTATACTTCCTGGATAATATCGTCAAGCCCTAATCTTCTCCGTTAGCGCTAATACTTCTACTATCTCTACCACTATGGAATTTGAACTGACAATTTCGTCTGTCTGCTAATGTGGTATGGCAACCTGAACTAATGTACGCACGTAAGAAGTTCTACGGTGTAACTGGCTGACTCAAAGAGTGGGGCTGCCTTCTCAAAACAGAAAGAAGGAGTTAGAAAAGATCAACTGAAAATGTTTACGGCCTTGTGAAAGATGTGCAGACAAGATGATATGGATTCATGTGGCCAGGTTTATGTGCCGGAGTTAAGACTAATTTCGAACATCCCACCGACAAACCGAAGTTCGCCGATCATGTAAAACTTCTCATACATTGTAAAGCAGGCCATTTTATAATAAATCCCTGCTGTGTGCCACCTGTATTTTCATTAGCTTAAGGATTCTAAAAGACCGTTTAGGATTGTTACATATTTTTTTAACCAGAATCCTTATTTAAATTCGTTTTGTATTCCAAAGTCGTTACCAACATCCCGACTAGTCGTTTACTATCAAAGTGATATAATTTAGCTGATCATCAGTCACTCAAAAACTAATATTGTTCATCTGACATTTCGAAACCTTTGAGATACTTTTGATTGATGCCATATCCTGGCTAGTCAGGTTCTATTATTCGATTTTGGATAAGGAACTATCTACTTGAAAGTAAAAGCATGTTTAGGTTTCAATAATAGGCTTCCGTATTCTGTAAAAGTAATATTTTATTCTCATCACAAGTCTAGTTGTATATGATATTGTGAAAAGATCAGATATATCACACTTGATACATTGACTGACTTCACGAAATCAACTTTATCAGTTTGTGACTGATCATCATTCCCCGTTATTTTTCGGTTAACTATTGTTTTAGTGTTGTACATGGCAAAAAATTATTTCATGTCAACAGTACTTTTATATGCTTACGCTTCCAAAAGAACATTATTTTTTGTTTCTTAATAAATCCCTAGCCATGTCTACAAATATAACGCACCAACCTTCACATATTACTCGTAATCAGCGTTCCATGAGTAATAAAACTTGGTCCCATGGTTGTACAGTTTGGTTTACAGGTAGATTCTGTTGAATAACTTTTCAATAAGTACTCTTGATAAATCTTTATTTTTATGAACATGGTTGAAATCCACTCAACTAATCGTTATATAGTTGTTCGCATATCAATCTTAAACATTCCTCGATTATCTTTTAGTGTCATAAATTCAGTCATTCAGACATTCACAGCTAGTAGGTTTTTCTGTCTACCATACTTTATTTCTGAGTTGGATAGTTCATTTGTAACGTTTATAACAGTAAAGCTAGGTGATGTGAATGACAAAGTTCTTTTATTAATCCAGATATTTAGTGTATTTAGACGTTGCATATTTCATAGAGGCTCGAAGCTGATTGCCATAACCAACTAGGTCATAAAAAATCGAACGAAGTAAAATTACGCTATTATAAGGTTTATTTTGTCATTTTACTCAAATGGTTGAACATCATGTACACCAAGAACACCAAGGACAATTACTGCCACACTCTTCATTTTGTCAAAATTTTCTCTTACTAACTTCAACATTTTCTCTTCAGGTCTCAGTGGAGCTGGTAAAACGACGTTGGCATTTGCTTTAGAACGTTATCTAGTTAATCAAGGCATACCTGCTTATGTATTGGATGGAGATAATATTCGCTCTGGTTTAAATAAAAACTTAGGATTCAGTGATGAAGATCGTGTGGAAAATATTCGACGTGTCAGCGAAGTAGCTAAATTATTTGCTGATGCAAACAATATTTGTCTAACTAGCTTCATTAGCCCATTTGAAAGTGTAAGTGTAATTTTTTTTCAATTCATTAAAATGTATAATTTTTTTTATTCATTTTTTTCCTTATTCGTACTGTCGTATTTTAAGAGTAGATTTATTTGCATCACTGTTGTTTACTTTTTAGGCACATTATCCATCTAGTGATTTTAACTATTCGATAGTTAATAAACCAAGAAGTCTATTATATATCTAATGATTAACATTAGCACTTATGGTTTTGACTTGACTAACCTTAAAGTTTTCTCGACCAATGAAGGAGAAATGCAAATAATGATATCAAAAATATGAAAACCATATAACTAAACAGAAAACAAATTAATCTTTTCAGAAGTAGATTAAGAGTAACTGCATATGTGATATCATAATTGGTACTTACCTTGGTTTTATATTTCTACTGACCGTTGAATTTTAGTATCTGGAGAATTTTTTACAGTTCTTTTTTATGTCCAAGCCACGATGTAATATTACATAAATTCACATCACTTCTTAAACGGATTACCATAAGAATTTATCAGATCGTTTTATTTTCCATTCCACTCATATCGAGATAGATAATGGGAGTTTTGACATGACTTATGTTCTTATCGCTTCGGAGCAAGTATACAACTGCAAGTCTTATACATGCGGTCTTCCTATCTTGCCTTCCTCTAGAGGCAGTAATTTACATCAGTATACCAACAGAGTAGATTGTGAACATATTTCAGAACTATTTTATGAGGTAAAGAATGACGTTAAATAGGATCGCTCCATCAACACAGGGTACTGAGTTATGAGTTGACGAAACTGACAGTTTCATTATGTATAGCATTGAATGAGAAAGAATATGTTAGCCTTATTCTGAGCGTAGCTACTACTTTGATGTAGTGGCCAGACCTGTTTATCACGATGACCCGACCGAGCTATATTAGCTGTTCCTTTAGGGTCCTACGATAACAACCAGATCGGTTGAAAAAAGGTACAACTAAAAGCAGCAACTTGAGACCTGAAAGTGAAGTCGTACTGCTGACTGTAGTGGAGTGTAACAGCAATAATGTGTTTCCTTCGGTTAAGCAGCATCTTCAGCGATCCTGCCTTCTCACAACGGAAGGAAGAGGTTGACCCTAAAGTCGTAACGCCTCACTTTACCCCACATTAGCATGATTGTTTCTCATTGTAATATTTGTGTTAGGATATTTATCCAATATGCAAAGAGAATTATTGGTCAATTCCTATTGGTTAATTCCTACTGGTCAATTTTACGGTCGTCTTGGATATCAATGTCACTTACTTCAATGTTGTTTCTTATTGGTCGTCCTGACTATCAATGTCGCTTCAAATATTGTTTCCTATTCGACTTAAATGTATAAATACGCATTATCTGTAACGTTTTATGACCCGGACCTGGATCCCTAGTCCGAGATCCTGATTCTCTTCTGGACTCGGACCTCGTACTTTTCTGGATGTTTGTAGAATACAGGTTCTACTTCTTGTCTAGTCTTCTTTCATTCAATGGGTTGTTTGGACAATCGGATTAGAGTAGCATATCGTGTCGCCGGATCCTCGATCCTTGCTCTCGTTTTCCGACTAAGGTAAACTCGTAATAGTTCAAGCATATCAAAATGACGTGTTTACGTGCATGCGTAACAATTTGTAATTGCATAAATATATTGTCCATCTTTTGTATTCAATTTATTGTTCTGTCTATAAAGTAAAGATGGCTTATAGTTAATAATAGTTGAAAAAATTGATTGTAAGTGATTTAATAAACTTGTTTAATAAATCGTAAAATATTAATAAAAGGAATTCGAGAGTTTACATGTCGTCTAACAGTCAATAGATGTGTATCATAATGTTTTCGTAAGGCATTTGTGAGTAGTGACCTACGTATAGTGTAAGTTCACTGTTTTAATGAACAAACTTTACAAAAGAGCCAAGATTTTAAAGTTACCATTTTTTAAAATTTAGTTTCATGAACGTTTGAAGATTTTATACTATGTACCATACAAATTTCTTCGACATCAAGTTCTGTTATCCGATTGTTAATAAAAATAAAGATAACTGTTGCATTCATAAACATACGCATAAAACTTTCTGTTTGTTTACAATATTTAGTATGATGACATTTTACCTGCTCATACATATCATCTAATAATGAGTTGTATATTTTTTTTGTTCAGTGTTCACAGTGTCAAAAACTCAGTAAACGAAGTTTACTATGAACTTAGTAGCTACAACCTTATTTAGAATAAGTAAATTACTAAAAATACATATATTACATTGGTTACGATGATGTGTTTTATTGATAGTCGAAAGTATTTCAGTCATTCATATTTCCATTTAAATCACTCCGATGAAACAGAAAGCAATAAGCATTCTACAACAAAATGTATTCATATATATATATATATCTATAGCAATAGTAAAATAAAGTATTATTCAAATAGAAAACAAATGCATATTTTCTTCAGCCTTATATGTCATGTAGTTTGTTTTATGTATTTAAAAATTTTACAATTAATTATTTTATTAAATAATTTAGATCAGGCCACAAATTTCATAACCTAAATTGAAATGAAATGAAAAATTTTTATATTATGGCTTAGTCTTATAATTTCTTTGATTAAAATAAGTTATCATTTAGTGCAAATGTAAAATAATGCTATCTAGGTATGGTAATTCTGTTTATGAATCAGTCAGTCAGTCAGTCAGTCCGATGCAACGTAGAACTTCGTACGTAAGTACATCAGTTCATGTTACCACACCACATCAGCACAGAGATGTAATTGTCAATTCAAATCCAATAGTAGAAGAGGTAGAAAAGGTATTAGGAGTAATCGGAGAGGTTAGGATGAGAAGATATTCAAGAAATATGATTCAGTGAGAAAAGTTTAGAAAGTCAAAACTAGAGGGGTTGAAGAATCCAGAAGATTAGGATTTGAGAGAACACAAAGAATAAATGCACCTGCGCCACTGCAAACGATTTTGAGCCATGTCATTCAAGGTCTCTAACCATCAGTTATTATCATCTCGCGGACCCCAACTAGGTAGTCGACAATTACCGACATGGCTAAGTCCATTCGTCAATGAATTTATGGATTTCTGCCATGTTTTGATTTGGCCGCCCCTTTCTTCCAACCTATTCCTACACTACAAAACAAAGCTCGTCGAGGCAGTCAGTGGTTGGGCATACGCAGCACATGTCCAAACCACCTTATCTGATGAAGTTTCATTACTTCATCTATTGATCTGCCATTCTTACCTAGCACCCGTTTCCTAATAACAGCGTTGCTCACTTAGGTGTCCCAAAGTGCTCCGAAGTCAATATTATCCTACATACTAAGGTAACAAATAATCCTTACCGATGAATAAAATCTTAAGCCTTAAAGTAAATCTGCAAGGATCTATGATAAGTTAGTTGAATGTGTCGTTTAGTTCCTATATATGGATGATTCACGACATTGTTAAGACATGTACATGTTAATTGAAAAGTTGTAATTGTTTCATACTAAAGGATGATTTTATTTTTTTAAATTGTATTTCATCATTTATCATATTTCATGATTAGTCAAGTGTAAGGATAGTTCAAACAGTTTCTCATATTCAAGGAATATATTTTATTCATAATGTCCAAGTCGACAATCAGAATGATCCAAATAATTGCTATCTATTGATAGATCCATACGTAGTAGAATAATGACAAATGGACATTCAACCCCCCAAACTGTACCAATATATCTACATATTTCAGTAAACATTGAGGTCTAATAAATACAGTTCGTAAATAATCGATCCAATGATTCAATCAAATGGTTATGTCGAAAACAATTAGTAGTAATTTACACTAACGTTTTTGAAGTTGCTATTCAGTTCGTTTCATATATTATGGAGTATGAAACTCCATAATATTCTATTTTTACTTTATTAATATAATATTAATAATAGTAATGGCTTTACTCAATATCATATGTCTAGTGCAATATGGAATTCCTAGCAGGGAATATTTATTTCAACAAGTTTCTTTTACAATGCATATTGTCAGCCATCACGATTTCTTGGATTGTACTTCTTTGTAACTTCTTTGAAGTGATAGTTCGTAAGTTTTCTGTATACGCTCCTCAATAGATCATACATATTATAAGCATAGTTGATGTGTTAAAACAAACGAAAAGAGCTAACTTGTTGAAATATTCCGGTGCTGGGAAATAGAAAGCCTAGATATTCAAGCAGATCGCCAGCGATATATAATGATCGTATCTAACCTTTTATTACATTTCGTGTAGATTGTTATAGTATGATTAAAATATTTATTGAGTACAGCATTGTCACATTAACATAGAATTCAAATCATTATGTATTGGTGTGAAGTAGGTCACTAAAATAAATTGTTGAACACTAGTGAAATGATTTTCAGAAGTTTTGAAAAAGTAATTCGTAAGTAATAAAAATTTCACATCCAATAAAAACTAAATGATTCCCATGGAATACACCTGATCAAATCTCACTTGGACATGATATACAACCAATGAAATAATTATTTTAGTAGAAGAAAAGTGTTTATGATTTTCAGGTAAATGAATGATAATCACACATATGTGTACCTCTATTTCGATCTGTATTAGTTTGTGTTTTTATGTTGATAGTTGAATAACTTTGAATTTGGAATGATTGATTCTTCCGCATACTTGCAGAATCCTGCCATCCAATGAGTTTGCACAACTGAAACAAGTAGTTAGTGACCTTATGAATTTACATTTTATTATTTTTTTTTGTCAACATTAATCCCATCACATAGACAAGCTACGACCTGGTTGGGGTCCGTGAGATGATAATAATCGATGGTTAGATACCCTGAATGACATGGCTCAAAACCGTTTGCAATGGCGCTGGTGCATTTATTCTTTGTGTTCTGTCAAATCCTAATCTTCTGGATTCTACAACACCTCTAGTTTTGAATTTCTAAACTTTTCTCACTGAATCATATTTCTTGAATATCTTCTCATCCTAACCTCTCCGATTACTCCTAATACCTTTTCTACCTCTTCTACTATTGGATTTGAATTGACAATTATATCTCTGTGTTGATGTGGTGTGGCAACATGAACTGACGTACTTACGTACGAAGTTCTACGTTGCATCTGACTGATAAACTACGACTCATCGCTTCACATTTGCTCCCGGTTGGGGTCCGCGAGACAAAAGTTACCAATGGTTAGAGACCTTGAACGACATGGCTCAAAATCCTTTGCAATGGCGCAAGTGCATCCACTCTTTGTGTTCTCTCACATTCTAACCTGAATTCCTCATCTCTATCTTACTCTTTCTAAATTTATCTTACTGAATTATACCTCTCGAATCATATCTTCGAACCCTAATCTTCTCCATTGCTGCTAATACTTCTATTATCGCTACAACTATGAATTTGAACTGACAGTTGCGTCTCTGTGCTAATACGGTATGGCAGCGTGAATTGATTTACGTACGTACGTAGTTCTACATTGTAACTGATTGACTGACTTCACATTTTTTTAGAAACAATACTCATACCTTATGCATATCTAAAATTGTCGGTCAAATTGTTCATGGAAATCCTCGAAATTTGTCAGGATTTACATTCAGTAAAATTTCGTAGTCTTATGTACTTCAATTTAATTTGGAAATCAGTAGGTTAAACGAGAAAAAAATCTTTTTTTCTATGTTTAAATTAATCAAATATAGACAAAGTTCGCATTATGCGGAATAGCGACAGACACATATCCTTGATGGGATATATTATTGATTAGTATTGTTATATATTTATATTGAATGACAGATAGACAGACATACAGATACAACGCAGAACTTTCGTACATAAGTACATCAGTTCAGGTTGCCATACCACGTCAGCACATAGACGTAACTGTCAGTTCAAATCCAAGAGTGATAGCGATAGTAGAATTATTAGCACTAATGGAGAAGATTGGGGAGCGAAGATATGATTCGAAATGAATAATTCAGTGAGATAAATTTAGAAGGAGAAAGATATAGATTATGAGGAATTCAGAAGGTTAGAATTAGAGAGAACACAAAGAGTGGATGCACCTGCGCCATTGCAAACGATTCTGAACCATGTCGTTCAAGGTCTCTAACCATTGGTAACTTTCGTCTCGCGGACCCCAACCAGATAGCCTACATCTACCAACATGACTCAGTCCACTTGTCAGTGACTTCATGGATTTGTGCCATGTTTTGGTCTAGCCGCCCCTAACTTTCTTCCAACCTACTCCTACACCACGAGACCTCTCTCGTTGCGGCAGTTGGTGGTTAGCCATACGTAACACATGTCCCAACCACATCAACTGATGAAGTTTCACTACTTCATCTATTGATTTGACATCCTTACTTAGAACTCGTTTCCTAGCGATAGCATTACTCACTCGGTCGTCCCAGGATACACGAGCAATGCTTCGGAGACATCGATGATCGAAGACTAGTAACCTACGAATATCCTCTACTCTTAACGGCCATGTTTATATGGAATGAATACAACTTCAAATAGGATAAATTATCAAGCATTCATATTTGATTATTATAACATCATTGTATTTCTATTAAGACAATTTTTTAATAGTCTATCGAAAGTGAAATCTAATAAAAATCAACATAAAAAAACAATTTGTCACATTCATTCCGATCAAAATTCTCTTGATACACATATTGAATAACTTTAAAATGATCTGATTCAATTTGTATTAGATGAACAAAAAATCATTGTGAATTAGGCATAATCAACTAATCATATCAATACTTATCTACCATTGGTTTATTTAATTACTAATTACTATTGCATTGCGGGGTTGTTGTGAAGATTGTTAAGTTTTATTTGTAACCATGAATTTGATCAAGTTAGACATTAACACCGTTGGATCCCACCGGCTCAGTGGTCTAACGGTTAGGGCATTCGCGCACAATACCGAAGGTCCTGGGTTCGAATCCTGCGGGAGTCGTGGGTGCGCACTGCCATAGATGTGTCCCATGCCAGGACGAAACGGCCGTCCAGTGCTTCCAAGTTTCTTCTAATGGTGGTCTAACATTGATCGATTCATCATACTAATTACTAATTAATTATTCTAAATAATTTTCTTTATAAATAAGAAAATATTTTGTAACCTTTAGTTTGCTAGTTATTTAATATGCAAAGTACTCAAGCTGCCTTATTTAAACTAAGCAATGTTACAAATTCATCAAAAAAATTATTTCTTATAAAAATTCTGTCATATTAACAAGTAATGTATACTTTACATTTTTGTATTTAGAAAAATAAGCGCATAAAATGATTATTTGTTTTTTAATTAAATTTCCAAAATACAAATCAACTACTAACTTTTTAAGAGCATCAATGAATTTATCTAGATTGAATACTCATAGGTAATGTCAATGCGTAAGTGATTTTCGTGGAATATTCGCATTACGGGGTTGTTGTGACCATGAATTGATCGATGTTAGACCACCATTAGAAACCTGAAAGCACTGGACGGCCGTTTCGTCCTGGCATGGGACTCATCAGCAGTGCGCATCCACGACTCCTGCACCCTGCAGGATTCGAACCCAGGACCTTCGGTATTGTAGGCGAATGCCTAACCATAGGATCATTGAGCTGGAATAGTTAGTTTCAAAACAATCTAATCGTGTCAACTAATGTCTATAAACCTAAATGAGAACATAGATTGTGAATAAATTGCTGCAAGTTGAATTAATCTGTTTAACAGTTATCTGATTCATTTTCTATTGATTCTTACACTTTAACAACAACTTAATTTATTCATTGTGTTTCAGGATAGAACTGCAGCCCGCGCGTTACATTCTCAACATAATCTACCATTCTTTGAAGTTTTTCTATCTACTCCAATTGAAGTATGTGAAAAACGTGATGTAAAAGGTCTGTATAAACGTGCACGTGCTGGTGAAATTAAAAATTTTACTGGTATCTCTGCAACTTATGAAAATCCAACAAATCCTGATTTAATTCTAAATACTGAAATGTATTCTGTACAAGAGTGTATATCCAAATGTATACAAATGTTAGCTAAAGCTGTAAGTGATATATATATTTTTAATTTTATAAATAGAAAGAAACTATGAAGTTAATTGTATTTTATTCTATTCGATTGTATTGTCATTTGAGTATGTTTTTAGTAGAATTTAAATTCAATTTATATAATTTGAGCAATTTTTGGAAAGTAAGAAGTATTCTACTTATTAATTAATTCAAAACACAGGTTTGATAGTAATGTTTAAAGGTTCTTATCTTCCAACTATTTAGGTTACATTTGCTTCTTTGGTTTGAACAGATGGCTAGTATAATTAGGTTTTCCCGACATAGTGGTCAGAGTTGTTTATCATGATGACCCAATCGAGCTGTATTAGCCGTTCCTCTATGTTCTACGATGACAGCCAGTTTGGTTAGAGAAAAGGTTGACCATAGAAATGTCGCACCTTATCTTACCCTCACAGAATTTGTCTCCAGCGTAAGGCCTTTTGATGGGCGGAGTTAACACGTTGTAAACCTCTCACAAAAAGGCAGTGAGTGACCAGCCTCAAGCAGTTGTCTTTTAGGCTCTGCGGTCACTAAGAAAAACAACCTAGCTTCCTGTTTGGTCCCTCATGAAGAAGAAGAGTGTCGGTCATTCTGAAGCATATGCTTGGATTCAGATCAAGCTCTAGTATGAACATGCATTTATCTGCGGCAGCAGGACTTGATTGACTAACCAGGTGAGATTTGTAAGGATGTGGCGAACTGGACGTAACCCCATCTGATTGATCCCAATCTTTACGACAGAAAGAAAGTTCTCTTGTGACTAATCACAGAGGAATTGATTTAACTAATGTGGTGTCTCAGATATTAGTTTCAGTAATACTACAACGCCTTACTAGAGCTTGTGAAGAATCGACTAGAAGAAACCAGGGTGGTTTTAAACCTGAACGTGGATTTATAGACACAAGTTTCACACATTGTCAGGTCGTAGAACACGGATTCACATGTTGGCCTCCGACAATAGTTGTATTTCTTGACCATAAGGCCACGTTTGACTCTATAGATCATGAGGTTTTGTGACAATGTCTGTCATTGAAAGAGTACAGAAGTAGTATAGTGATGTTGTACACCCTCTCTACTGGAACACTGCTGGTCGAGTGAGAGCTTATGACGAACTGTCATCGGGATCGATTACCTCGAGGGGTGTGCGTAAGGGCTGTCCCTTTTATACATTCTCATTCAACTTTGTGATTGACATTCTTTTGGAGACGACACTTTCATCGTGTAACTTTTCGGGAGTTGACTTTATACCAGGCGATTCACTTTTTGACGTGGCATATGTAGATGACATAGTTCTATTTGGTGAAGGCGTTGAAAAATGCATAATCATGGAAGTCTCATCAGTGCTGATGGCTTGGTGTCTGACGAAATCTCCGCACGGATACAGAAGGCTTGGTGGACTTTTGCTAACTTGTGTTACTTATGGAGTAGGTATTCCATTTCTACCGGGTTTGTACTGATGTTGTTCACAAGAACAATGAAAGTCCCACTATCAAACCTTCCAGCTCAGAGAAAGAAATCCCACCATAACTTGTTGAAAACACATCCCAGATTGTCTAGTTCTTCGGATGAGCATGTGATTGTTAAGTTTATGTATCTGTATTTCCCACTGACCGATATTACTAATTAGTTAGCTATTCATCTAATGATACGGCCGAGAGTAGGGAGAGTCCACCCTGTCTCGAATCGCCTTCATATAGCCTTGCGTATGTAGCCACTAACAGAGAAATCTGACACAGTACCATCTCGTGAAATGGGTGTTCACAAAATTGGAAGGATGAAAAGCAAATATCCGGCAATAGCTTAAGCCGATTCAGTGAGTAGGGAGGACTCACCTATAGAATTGTGAAAACCCTGGTTCCAAACTAATGGTGCACACAGCTTCCAGGATCCTGATGGAATGAATGGCGTATAAATCCATTGTTGGTCAGTGGATAATATTGGACTGTATCTCCTGACTTTGCTTCATTGCCCTGCGATTCAGAATTTTACGTCAAAGGTCCAAGGAGTGGCCTCCTAAGAAGGCCGCTTGCTTCGATTTAGGCGGACAAGCAGTATTTCAGTTCCTTCACAAATTCATTAATTTACATGCCGCATAAATATTTAGGTGCCCCTTTGTACCAGTGTCTATGTTATTAAATAATAAAATTCTGATATTATTTCATATTAAGTATATTAGGAAATAACTAATTGATTGGCGTTAAAAAAATACTGACTTATAAAGATTACGCAGTATGTTTTAAAAATAATGAGCTTTGAGAAATTGTTGAATGTTTGGAAATACTCCTCAACTTTGTTAATTTGTAACAGATTCTTTGTCCAATATCAATCCTTTCATACAATGCTGACCTCACGTCGTAACCACAACAAAGTCTGAATGTTGATAAGAGGTGGAATCTATACGGCATTGTCGGTCCAGACGGGTGTAAACTGAAGTGGAGTGATGACTTTTGTTAAAATCACATGGGATGAATCATTAGTAGTTACCTGAAGATTCTAAGTATATTTTACTGTCGAGTGATAATTAACCCAAGATTTGATGTCGGGCTCACTACTTTGGTGGCTCATGATCTGGCTCCAAGTATTTCTGAATGATCGAGTTTGTTATGAAATAAATCTCCTCATCGGTTTTGATATATTATACTTAGGCGAGCCGCGTTTGTGCAATGGCGGTAATAAAAAGCCAAATATGGATTCGGTTGAACGAGTTTATTTCAGACATTCTTTCATGCAGACATGATAATGAATAGCATAAAAGCAAAGAAGGCGCATGAGCCAACACCATTCGATGAAGCATGACTAAGCATATGTAGTGACACAAAATAAACTGGATATGTAATATGCAAGGCTGGCGTGCACACACATGAATAAGAGGAACGATGATATATAAGCGAATGACTGATAAGGTCAAAAGATTAGTGGGCTAATTAATTTGTCCAAAGGCTGGGATGATCCCTTTGTCATAAAAGCACTCACTACAAGTTATGCGTATCCTACCGACTATTTCCAATCAACCAACCAATCAACCAACCAACCTCCATATTTACTTCTTGTAGCTTGATTTTTTTCAATTTTCTTATCTTTTTTGTTTTAAGGGTCTAGTGCCTAATTATGATGAAATCAATCCATTTGGTGGTCCTATGCCTAAAGAACTCTATGTGACTGATCCTTTAGAAGTTGAAAAATTAAAGGCTGAATGTTCTTCTAGTTTACCACATTTAAATATTACCGAATTAGATCTTCAATGGATACAAACATTAGCTGAAGGTTGGGCTACACCATTAAAAGGTTTTATGCGTGAAGAAGAATATTTACAAGTTCTTTATTTCGGTCAATTACAAGTACCAAATAGTAAGTTTATTTTACAACAGTTTCAATGTGATTTTCTTTGGTCATTTACATCACCGCAAGTGACTTGATGTGGTGTAAAAACAGCAAAATATTACTCAATTTTATAAATTTGAATTCTGTTACGTTTGATTTCTTTCTTTATGAAACGTCATCATTTCGGAATATCTAGCGCTTTAGAAATTATTACTATTGTTGTTGATTGAGTAATCTTAATGGTTGACTTTTCATAACATTCAGCGATTTTTTTTAACAGTTTATCATAATGCACACACCATATCGTCTATCATTTACATTAATTCACCTTTTATAGCAAACCAGAAAGCTGAAGTTTCTGAAATTAAAGATGAATTTACTTTGATATTTTCATATTACGTCAAAACGTAGAAAAAATAGAGTCTACGAAATAGCCATCACGCGTAACTAAAATGTACACAGCTAAGAATACTATCACAACGAAACAATGTTTTCAATGAGTGTGTCATCTACTGTACAAAACATATCACGGACTAATTCATCGGACCATAAACAAACTGCCACCTAAATTCGACCACATCTCAATCTCTCTCTTTCTCTTTGAGGTGAAATTTATGTGTATGACAGTACGTTATACTGTTAACTAATGTGTAGACAAACATAGATTTCGGTAGTGACCAGCTAAACAATCGTCGACATTTGCTGATTGCTATCAATCTATTCTCCAATAGAAACTTATCACAACACACACACAAATAAAACATGGAAAAGAAAAGACATGGAGACTTATCATGACATTAGAAAGGTTGTTATTTTGAAAATGTTAACTTCAATACATAACAAACATGCGAATGAGGTGGTTTTCTCTAGTGTACAGTTATGACATGACATATGAAATATCAAAAAGACGTTTACAAAAATGATTGGTTTCGGTGTAGGACAATTGTTCAAGCTGTTCTGTACAATTGGCGTCCAATGTAATTACCTCTGAAATTTGGTTAGAAAGATGAAAGGTTAGCAAGTTGATTTAAATATGACGAGACTAAGTTCATCAGTTAATTGTTCATGCTGATTTATTAATATCATTGAAGTCGAAACATCAACGTGTATTCACACGTGTGATCATCGAAATGAACTATTGTTGATGATATTCATGAAAATATGAAATGCATGTTTCAGTTCGAACGAGAATTTGAGTGGATGAAACAAGAAGTTGAGTGGATGAGTGATAGTCGGAAACCATGTTCACATTCAACTGCAATGAGGACCACATGCAATCACTTATTTAGTCGATCACTGAGTGACAAAGCACCATTAATATCCTGGAATTACTGGACTCGGATTTCGACCCAGTATCGTACTCATGCAATCATTCAGAGAGTATTTGAATGGGACAGGTTAATACTCAGTGAAGTGAATCAAAATGATGTTGACGATCACTTACCCAGGTCCATAGTTGCACACAATGCTCAGTCCGTATGGGAAATTGGGACAATTCGTAACACCACATCCAACATCAGTAGTGTCCTCCCAAACAATCTGCAATGAACAAACAGATGGTTAACTGATGAGTAGTGTGTTGGGAGAAGGAGAGAACATGTTTCGTGTCGTTCACAAATATCAACAGTCAATGATCACAACGAGAAGCACTTGATTCGTCCGACCGATATCACATCATTCAAACACATTGACAGGGAGCAGAGCGTAGAGCAGACAGTATGTAGAATGTTCCCCATATGTGTGTTGATGTGACATCGGATATTTGGATGTTACAAATTGTTATGTTAGACTGGTTAGCATTTCATGTACCACGGTCTATCTGTGATCAGTAGTCGACTTGACAACTGTCTCACAAGCAGTTATTTTAACAAGAATGCAGTGAGTGTTCTGGTTGTAATGCTTACCTGAGTATAATGACCACACTGACCCATACGACAGGTTTTGGTGTAGAAGTCGTAGTTCTTGTATTCATCCAGCCATAATTGGAATCCGCTTGATGCAAGTTGAAAAACAACAAACAAACGAAACAGGAAATGGAACATTTGCAAACATGAACAATCAGATACATGAGAGTAAAATGACATGTTTAACTGGGAACAAGAAGGATTCCACTGCACAGATGAACACGCAAAATGCAGCTCATCTCAACACATCACCTGGATTATTGTTGTGTCCAGGTCAAGCAAGTCTGTGATGAATTGAGTTGAGTGACATCGGTCTGTGGTCACACCGATGGCAATCAGTTCACGGTTCAATGCGATCACTTGTTGAGTGTGACACCAGTCCCTCCTGTCTGTTTCACCATCAGCCTCAATCTCTCCTCACTCACCTGTCTTCGTCACACCGACTACCACAACCACGTCGTCCGTGACAAGTGGATTGTTTGACAAGTGTGTGTGTGTTTTTGAGTGAGTGTTTGTGGAAATTGGAGTGACGTTTGGTGATGATTGTTTATCAGCGAGCAGATGTTTAGTGATTGATTGAATAATATTAGAGCGACTCGACTTCAGTCTGCTATGATGATGATGATGATGATGTTGCATGTCGGTCGATTAGATGGTTGATATAACACGCCTATCAATGAAGATGAGAAATTCGCAAGTGCATGATTTGATGGGATTGACACATTTTACACAATGCACTTACGTGAGACACTTACGTTTTTATGTCTTTCGCACCTGCCCAATTCTGTCCAACATATTGAAATTGTGGTATTTTACGATCAGCATTTGTATCATGTCCAACACGACACTTGTCAGACAGGATTTGTGCTTTCTCCTCCAATTCCGTATTCCATCTCTGTATAAATTTGATTGAGTAAGCAATTATTTAGGTGTTCATTTACTATGTATTTACTAATATAACGACGTTATTGAAACGAATGAAATTCTGTGAAGTGTTATTCGCTGTTATTGTACCATGTCAATGTACCATGACTTAGAGATTGTATTTTGTCTAGCAGTCTGGCAACTACTACAACAAATTCTTTGTGTGTTTTGAGTTGATGCAAACTATGCGCGAATGATGCTCAATAGGATGCTTATTGAAGAATGAAAATATCCGATCGGCTTACACTGTCGCAATCTCCTATGTCAACTAATATGACGATAGATTGATGGTAAGAAAACTGATGTCTGTAACATTGCGACAAATAGCACGAATCCTGTTTGCTGAGATCAAGTATGCGAAACATCAGGCACTCCACATCACTTGAAATGAACGTAATGTTCCGAGAGTGATGAAAGGTGAACAAGTCTTATGGTAATAGTCATACTAACATGCTCACAACAACCTGATTGTCTGCTCATCTGTGAGCATGCATGTCGACACATCTCACATCGAACAACTTGTTTCATGTAAGTAGGAACGCTGAAATGGAAACCGTGTTGCTGATTGAGTTGACCGACTTCCATCAACCTACTCATCTGAGGTCAAACATTGTTCACTTAAACATCATTCTACGCAACCTTTATCTCACCAACCACTGTCATTCGAAACAAGCATGTTCAGCAGAGTCAACAACATTGTCGCATCTACAAATTGATGGTAATCAGTCAGTTGGTTACCTACCACACAAAACAAATCAACAACTATTTCATCCGATCATCAACAAACTGCCACCTACATTCACACACATCCAACCACCGTCTCAATCTCTCTCTCCCTATCTCTCTCTCTCTGTCTCACACTCTCTATCACTCTCATCACTAACATGTGTTTGCAATCAAACCGAATGCAGTGCACACTGAAATCGATTTGCCCATATCAAAACAAAATTTGCATGAACATTGATTTGTATGAGAGAACCGTTATTCTTACCAGTGGTTTTATAGAGACCGCTCTCGGTTGTCCTTGCAGCTGACCATCGTGAACAGATTGTCTTGCGTTATTGTGCAGAGTCAACAACTCCGTTCTCATCGCCTCATTCAAACTCCCGTGAACACAGAAACACACTAGTATGCAGCACATCAACAACACCACTGTCAACAGGTCACCACAACATTTGGAAGACATTTCGATGAGACCAGACTTGCACTGCTTGTGTGACTTACGAACGATCAGTTGTGGGCTCTTATTTATATACTGCATTAGGTCAGCTGGTCGGTTAATGAACACAAGTTATGGTGACTAAACTGACCTCTGATACTTGTCATTTAGTCTTATAAGTGTTTAATTATATTGGTGGATAATACTAAACAGGCGAGTGATTAGGTCAGTAGGGCGTTATAGAGCCATTGACCCCTTTTTTTATGCGTCAATCAACGCATATAATTTGAGTGAAACGCCCAACACTTAACAATTGTTTAATCCCCTACTGGTTGGTCATTACTGTGACCCTCTTCATTTAACTACTAATTAAGAAATTATATCAGTTGAGTGCACATGACCAATCGTTGGTTGTTGGTTGATTTATTAATTGTGTCCATGCTATTGTTCATCAGGCCTATATTCATAGTTCGTTTTTTGATTTACTACTCTGTTGTGGTTTGTACCAGCTGTAATTATTTACAATTTAGAAGCAGATTGTGATCGTTGGCCACACGCTTAGTTACCTGTTTTGACTATTTCTCCGCTAAGACACTTTCAAAAATTTTTTTGAATACAATTTAATTCCTGCGTAATACTGGAGTCACATTATTTTTCCTATACATTTAAATAATCCTTCATTATTATTGTGTTATTCGCTAGTTTTCGCTTCTTATCTGTCATTGTATTAATGTCAATAGAAAGACGTGAAATGCGCATGATAAATACGAGAGTATTGTAAGTGATACCTTGATCAGAGTAGTGGTAGGAAGACTTAGGTACTGGCTGTCCGATTCAAGTAAGAAGAACAAATTCACAATGTAAGCAATTATAGGTTGAAAACGCTCATATTTTAAGCGAAAACAAATTGTGAATTTATCTGCACTCCGTGAAACAGTCATTGGTTTCATGTTCTCAAGATACCACTTCTTGGTTTGACAGTTGATTGTTTTTTTTTGTAACGTACTCTTAAGCCAGCCAACATTTGTCATTTAGATATGCAGTTGTTGAATGTAAATACCGTAGCACATGTCCCAACCATCTCAGTCACTGAAAATAAACTATTCTATTACATTTAAAAGTGTAAATATATGATTATGATGTTGAGTGCCCGAGATCGAATCACGACACGTGCTAAAGTCGAAGCGAAATTCACCAATGATTAGAGACCTTGAAGGACATGGCTCAGAATCGTTTGCAATGACGCAGGTGCATCCACTCTTTGTTTGGTTTTTAATTCTATCTTTCTGAATTCTTCATAATCTCTATCTTTCTCCTTCTAAATTTATCTCACTGAATTATACTTTTCAAATCATATCCATTACTGTTAATACTTCTGTTATCGCTACCACTATTGGATTTGAACTGACAAATGCGTCCCTGTACTGACGTGGTATGACAACCTGAACTGATGTACTTACATATGAAGTTCTGTGTTGTATCTATCTGTCTGCCTGCTAAAGTCGAAGAGAAAGTCCATTTATTATCTATCGAATGATACATACGTAGGAAGTCATTTCTTAACTAATGAAATCTATTCATTTTATAGGACATTTTCTGATGTTTATCAAATGACCTTCTTATTTGGCTACTTTTGACTAGCTCACTATATCAATATACATGTATATTGAAAAATTGTTTTTGTTTTGCCAAATTGCTTTAAACGGAACTATTAGAGATTTGAGTATTTTTCTTTTTTCTATTTATGATTTCACATCAATATGTTCATGTTGTGTATGTCTATCTATCTGTCTATCCATCTATCTATGCGTGTGTGTAGGTTCAGCGACAACAAATTTTTCAATTCCAATTGTATTAGCTGTATCCAATGAAGATAAAGAAAGATTTAATGGCAATGGTTCATCAATAGCTTTAATGTATAACAGCAATATTATAGGAATGTTACAAAATTGTGAAATTTTTCCTCATCGTAAAGTAAGTGTCATTATTTGTTCATAGCATGTGTATTTATGTTCTTCATATAGGGGATTTGGAACTTTTTATGAATGACAATTTAGAAACATTTTGTGTATCTAAAGTTTAATTTATTGAAGACCTAACCATTGGTTACGATTGTCTCATCAACCCCAACCAGGAAACCCACATCTACTAACATATTTCAGTTCAGTAGCGACTGAATTCATGGATTTGTGCCATGTTTTGATTTGTCCAATCCAAGCTTCCTTTCAGACAACTCATATATCACTGAGTATAGCCCGTTCAGGTAGTCGTTGGTTAGGTATACGTAGTTGCTACTTTGACGTAGTGGTCGGGTTTATCTTTGTTGGTTGAAACACATGATTTTATGGGTCCTACCATACCAGGCAAGTGGTGTTCACCAAGGTTGTCTACTTTCTCCGTTTTTATTTAATTTAGTCATTGATATGCTTTTCGAGGCGACACTTTGATCGTCTGATGATGATTAGAGGTCATGGAAAAGAAAATCCAGAACTTTAGTTTCGTGACAATAGTAGTACTTATCTGTATAGGATATCTGCAATCGTGCAACAGAACACCAGTGCTTTCTTGATAAGAATACTTTTTATCGATGACAAATTTATTAGATAGTACATTTTTGATGAATAACACCTATTTTTATATTTCACCACTATCTTTTTATTTCATGTTTGTGAAATATAGGAAGAACGATGTTGTCGTATATTTGGAACTGCTCATCCTGATCATCCAAGTATTCAAATGATTATGTCATCTGGTGATTGGTTAGTTGGTGGCGACTTGAAAGTATTTGAACGAATCAAATGGAACGATGGTCTTGATCAATATCGTTTAATGCCCAGAGAATTACATAGTGAATTAATGAAGATGAAGGTAAGCATTCGTGATATATAGTTTTATACGTTGCTTACTTAATTGCATAAATATATGCTCAGTGTCTAGAATATACTCTTGGTTGGTGGAAACGTCTCCTAGTTTTACGATGTTTTTGCGACTTTTCCCGGAACATATGTTGCAACAATGGTTCCCAAATAGTCAAAATCTTTTGAAGTGCCAACCACCATGGGGGTAAGGTGTTACGGCTATCACTACCATCGAAATATCATGTTCCGGGTTCTTGTCTTGCAAAATGATGCTGGGGCGGTCCTCAAGTTTGTTTGAAATTCTTGTTGGAGTATCGGTAACCTCAGGTGGATTCTGGCTGCTTGAACTGGTCTTCTGCCATTGAAGAAAAGTTGAACCTCGCATTCTCCATTCACGATTCCTGTATGTTAGTCCAGTTATCTGCTTGTTTTCATTGTCATTTTCAAGCATTGGTTGTAGTGGATACTAAAAATATTTGACTGTTTCCTAAAGATTAGAGACGGAATTTTAATTGTTTCATGAAAAATAAAGTGCCGTGGATTACTTGTAGTAGTTAATTACTAAGGCGTTTATATTTCTTCGTTCCAACTTTTTGTAAAGTTTTTCCAACTTTTGAAGCGTCATCAAACCGCAGATATCAATATATAACGGATCCTCATATTTCTTGAACCATGAGTCAAAGATAACACCATATAAACCATCAAAGTGAAATTCAAGGATAGCACTAACGAATGAATTTGTATATTTTACTTGTAGTTCAATAGATGTGAGGTTTAGCTGGGATTGATTCATCTGAATAGGAGCTTCCTTGTTTCTTATTTAAGACTTCTAACTGTTTCTCTTGACGCGCTCCATGTAGGCTTCTAAATCGTTCAGAAATTATATTCTTTGCAGTTTTTTACATCCTAACTGATAAGTCTTCCTACCGAGTACTCAATCCGATTTCCCAACTGCTTGTAATAACTTCAGGCTAAATCTACATGGAAACTTGAACATAAGTTTAAAATGATGCGAAGTGCAAAACTGAAGACTGGTTATAAGGATTTCTTTGACTCCTAAAATAAATCAAACTGATTGAGGAATACACCAAAATTGAATTAATCAGTAAAAATCGAAATGTCATACATGATTGAAAAAACAACAATCAGTTACATATATCATTTGCACTCCAATTGATTAAGAGCTATTACTCTCGCTATGTCAATAATGATATGCTACGATATAACTATTGCAGAGTGGTGGATAAGTTATCTATAGCTTCTTTCATGAGCTAAAATATTCAAAGTTTATCTTTAACATAATAACAACAAACAAATTTTCAGAAAAC